GAGCTACTATTACTTTTTTTATGACCTATAATAGGTTTTGACGCGTATCCCTTAGGTTAATGGAGTCATTGTTTGCCTCGACAAGATTGAGCTTATTATTTTCTGACGTGTAAATAACAATAGGCGCTTTTATACCTGAAATGGGCTTAGCAGAACTTTAAGGTTACGCCAAATACTTGTGTATTTAAATTCACTTCTAATATGTAATGTAATTTATTAAATATTATAATAACTTCTTGAACGGGCTATAGGTAAAATATATTGGATGATACATATGTTACTTACATGGCCATTTTCAAATCTTCCAACATTTTCTACCACGTCTATTGGCTGTCAATAACAATGATAATAACAAAACAAATAATTCATTTACATACACTTTAATGATTGCTACTTTTTGTAAACATATCTAAGCATGTTCTTACTAGTGTTGCCAGGTCCAATTTATTATTCGGACAATCGGGACAGCGCGTGTAATTAATCGGGATTTGGGGTTGTAAATCGGGACAGACAAAAAAACAAGTACTAGTTTGGTAGCTTTTTTGCTTTAAGACATAGATAAATATAGTTAGGGCTTTCAAAAATGGTTTTGCTGGTATGAAAAAAAAAATTTTTTTTTTATAAAAATGCTTGATTTTTCGGGACATTTAGCGTCCCGATTAGGTACAAATCGGGACGCGTTCGCGGACCCCTGAAAATCGGGACGTCCCGCGTAAATCGGGACACCTGGCAACACTAGTTCTTACATAAATTCAGATATCGATACAATGAATAAGGTACTAATATAGTCTCTACATTGATAATCGTAAATGTTGCTCTCTTTTAATCTAAAACTATCTTTAATATAAACTCAAACTATTCGTTGCCTAAAATAGATGTCGCATTCAAAAGGCTATATAAAACAAATGCTAACAATAATATAAAATCCTAGATCTACTATATTATGGCGAAAATAAAGTGAAGAAAATGTGGTTTTTATTTCATGGCAAATTTGTATGCCCGTACGCGCTTCACGCATAAACCATTCAATAAATTGAAATGGAGTTTCTCTGTCGTAAACTTTAGTGCTTCAAAAAGACACTGAGGTGTTTTAAATGGAACGTGATCTGGAATTGGATACAAAACAATGATATAATATCTTTATTGGACTTAATATACTTATTTATGAAATTCATGATATTAAATCAACGCTGCATAGAACTGTTTCTTTGAACACGGTAAACTTTAAAACTATCAAATGGATTTTGGTATTGTATTCAGCGTAAAGTGATTATAAGGAAGAGATTTTGGTATATCATTATTATAGTTTTTGTGTATGTCGAGTGAATTATGATTACAATTGTTGAGGATGTTAGAACCAAATTAACTTTCTACTGGAAACTTATTTCATGTGAATTAAAGCCACGCATAACTGGAGCCAATCGGTAGTTATATTACACATACTTGAAGATAGACAGACGAAACTAATTTTGCGATAATTCTCGGATTGCGGATGGTGGGAATTCTGTTGCAAAAACTAGATTTTTAGTTTCATTCTTGTGCTTGCATTTCCAATTCTAGAACAGCTACGTTGACAGTAATGAACATATTATTATGATATTATAAGTACCTACATAAGGGTTTACTTAGGTATATTTCGTAATTTACGTCAAAGTTTTTATAAATTACAGTGTGCTCAATAGAGCCATTTCTGGAAATAAATGCATTCAAGCGTAGGAGGCTGTCTTCTGCCATTTTTATTCAGATTCAAAAGTAACAAAAACAGACGCACGCAGCAAAAGCAGTAGTCTTGACGCGATACGCGGCAAGCACAACTGAGTGCAGTATATGTCTTTTCACGTTTATGTTCACCGTCTACAGTGAGCGTGTTAATATTTTACTGTGTGAATCCGGTACAGCTTACGCGGTGCCACGGGCTGTCCGTGGTACGTGCGTAACATAGACCTCCATCGTGACCTCCGCTTAGAGTCCATCGCCTACTTCATGAAGGAAGCCTCAAGACGCCACTTCGACGTAGGATCCCACCACTCCAATCCGCTTATTGCTAAAGCTTGCGACTACCTAACAGCAGCTATCCGTCCCCGCCAAATACGACTCTTCCGTCGACCCAAACATGTCCTAGACTATCCCGACGACCCCATCACTCTTGCCAACCCCCCTTAGACAACAACACGCAACACTCACTCGCCGATAGGCCCGCGACACCGCACTCACCGGTCACGAGTGCGAAGACCCGGTCTACACAGTACGCGATTCACCAGGTACAGACACGTGCCTGGGCGTTTCTCCCCGCCCTCCACGACACGGGATAATTAGAGCCGAGGTCCGAGCCTTTAGCTTTAGCTTTACCCCCAGCGTCCGACACGAGAGTCCAGGGCGATTCTACGACGGAGTGGAGACACCCCCCCGTGGGGTGATGCCCTCCTAGTAGATAAGTCCCAAAGACGATCGTCATCTCGGCTTGAGATCCTCAGGATCTCGCCGTCCCTTAGTCCGGTTACACTGTAAAGGCCATCTGAGTAATACACATTAAAAAAAAAAAAAACCGGTACAGCGCTCCTAGCGGTAACTACCAAGAACTACAAATCTCCATACAAATTCTTAATCCACTTGCTTACACTTACCATGATCCTTGGAATACCGTGTGTTTCTGCTAATGTATGAATTCAACCGTTTGTTCCTAGTTGCCGTACTGCTTAGCTTTATATTATGAGCTTACATATAATAACAGAATAAAGTTATTTAAAACGAAATCAAAGTTAGAGATTTTTTAGTTTATTTTAGAGAGTGGTAAACACGGCTGCACGTCAACTTATTACAACATGTAAAATTTTCTCAACTCAATATTTAAAATACAGTGGAGGAACTTATCAGTTTTCTATATTTAACCTGTTTTTTTTTAAAGAGTCGAGGAAATGCTTTTGGCACTAGCCCTGTTTCCTGGCAAGCAACAGGGGGTGTGTGACAATCTCTTCCATGAATCCTACCGGCAGGCAAGCTGCCCAGTGGTTCCCGGAGGCCTACCCACCTAAACCCCTACGGTGCACCCTCTTACCAGGACACTCAGCCCCTCAGTTTTCTATAGCCTGACGTGCTCTTGACTGTACAAGAGAAACAATCAATTTTCACTTTTGAGGGTATTGCAAAATGTACCTTCATCTTTTATTTACGTGACAGATGATTTGCTGACAAGGAACGTCAGTGTAAGCCCTTTTACTGCTTAGTTCGCCCTAATTGGAATTTGGGTCAACGAAAAGTAAAATAATTGGACCAATTTGTCCTAATCTTTGTCTGCAAAAGAACTTCTTATTTGGGTATATTATTTCAATTAAGGAAACACTCGGAGGTCGAGGAAACACGAATATTGACGCCATTTTGCAGTTAGGCAAACTGCGAAAAGAATGTTTATTCGTTATGAAAAGCTACAATATCTATTTATTACCAACCATCTTTATAAAGCCGTATTCAAACAATACCTAGGTGATATATGAAATGTCATTTATGTTACACCTTGTCTTGGTATTCTATACGATAGTACGGTAGTCGATAATATTATAAAGAAGAAATATTTAATTGTTTGTTTGTGTCGAATCGGCTTCGAAATAAATGGACCGATTTAAAAAAAATCACTTATCGGTAGCTTCATCATACCAGTTTCACATAGGCTATAATTTACTCGTGCAAAGTCGCGGCAACAGTGCCGAATTATCGGGAACTCGTGAAATGTAAAGTACATGGTAACAATCCCGTTTTTAGCAGACATTCTGATTTTAATGATCATAAAAGTTTAAAACATTATCTCTACGCTACCTTTTGGGATCAAAATATCTATATATACACGATATCTAACCTATCACGTGACTTGCAAGTTACCTATAGAAACTAAGCTATTTCTGTTTGAATCAAGATTTAATTTGTCTGTTAAAAAATATTTTAACCTACATTGACTATAATCTAAAGAGTTATTCTGTTTAAAATACAGCGCCGAACACAGCGCTGTTGCAGCATCAGAGATTCAATCAAATAAACTTTTATTACTTTTTGAAGTAGGTTTTGTGACTAAACTTGTAATACTGTTTGTCAGTTTCTAAACGACAATGCTTCAATTAAGGAGAAACAGGAAAATTTAGCATGATTCAAGAGATTCAATAGAGTATTATTTTTTTCTTACTTAGGTGAAAATGAAGTTAAATATTGCCCTTGTATTGTTAAAGAAAACTATAAAAAAAGCATTTCCGTTAGATTCATACTGAAAGATACATTTTACTATTTAATTGATTTATTTAAAATCACCATATCGACTTCAATAGTTTTAAGTATATTGGCACGAAACTGATCAAACGTCAAAGTAAAAAATGACAGTGACTGTCAAATAGAGTTGCCCGTAGTGCTAATCGACAATTAGTAGTAGTCGATGAATGAACGAATGAATGAATTAACACTTTATTGTACTTGGAAAGAAAAACAACATGACAATTAATAACAATAAACGGTACAATCGGCGGTCTTATCTCTAAAAAACTAAATGTTAATTCCTCTATCAATACGTAATAATTTATGTAACAGAGGGGGTTAGAGAGATTATTTTTAACACACCTCAATAAAAATAATACGCGGGCTCAAGCCCTGCGCGAACGACAATACTTAACTTAAATACGTAGGGCTGTTACTTATATGTTATTCAATCGTCAGAAATGCATAGACCATTTCTATAGAATACAATTTTCCTCTATAGCGTAAGCATCAGAGATTTATAATACAACATTTATTAATATTTTTCTTAAGACGATGAGAATTTTAATAAGGTACCAACGTCGTGTGAGCTATTGAGCGTTTTCGCTTATCGATAATTTTTAGTTCAAATATGACTTAGTACCTATTATATAATCGATGTAATTCGAACCGATTCATTCTAAAAGCGATGTTTAAGTTAAAGAACACTGGTTTCTTATAATATATTTTTAATTGTAAATACATAGTATACAAATTATTGCCCTCAGATCGCCATCGGAGATCAGGGTCTTTGGACGAAGCAGCAGAAGACAGCAGTGATAATGGTGGTAGCACACCAAAGAAGAAAACCGCCATAGAGGAGCAGTGGGAACGATCTGGGGGGTTCGAGCTAACCTCAGTGGAACAGGAGACGTACGAGAAGTACTTCTACGGAACAGAACACTGGAACTATTTCACCAACGATGAAGATCTGGGACCTGTAATATTGTCAATCAAACAGGAAACTTTAAATGCAAGAGATCAGTTTCGGTATGTATTTTTTAAGCTTGATAGATATCTATCTTTAAAAAAAATATATATAATAAGTAGGTCCTATTAGTGCAACATTCTGACGCTAGATTGCACCATTAGTACATAAAATTAACACAATGATATAAATGTTAAATAAACAAATGTCATCACAGGGTATTGAGCAAAAAGTGAAGTGAAAATGAGCATTCGCATAGCGGGTTTTTTTTATTTTATATTTAGAAAGAGTGTAATTTCATCATTGGTGCATGTTTGGATGTTATTTATTTCCAAAAGACGAAATGCTCGAAAAAGTTTGTTTGTTTAATGTATGTGCAGCCATCTACGCCGAGCTTTGCGTAATATCACATATTTTATAACACCGGAAAGATTTAATTGTTTGTCTGTTTGCATCGAACAATTCCTTCACCGACGATAAGCTACAACATATGAGAGCGACGTAGGCTATTATTTACGCAGACGACGACGCGTTAAAACTGCTACCATTTTATAACTACATACATGGGTAAAATAACTTCTAAACTTTGATGTAAATACTACATTTTGATTTAAAACATACCGTAGAACTCGCCGGTACAAACTATACAGACCAGTAGCTCAATCCAGGAGCTCAAAAAAGTGCCATCGCGCATTTTATCATTATATTTTTCTGCAATTTTGGGTTTGGTTAAAAAGTAAACACAATTTACAAAAAGCGAAGCCGTTACGAACTATATCAATAACTGTTAAGTACCATTCAATAAGTTAAAATTATTAATATTGTTGGTATGCTCGACAAAATGAGAATAATTTATATATTTGATAATCACTTTTATTATTTGTTAAACAAAATCAACTTACGATAAGACATCTTTCTAGAACGCAGTAAGCGGAACAGGAGGAGCACACATACTACTTCTCTAAATAGGTTCTTAACACACCACAGAGTATACAGAACTAAATCACATTCCTTAACAAATATATTTTGATTTCGGGAATAAGAACGCCAAAATTGACCATTTTACGCAATATTAACAGTAAAAATATATCAGAGCCCTAAAGTAACATGAATAAATAAATATTATAAAACATCACATACACTGCTTAGATCTCAAATTAAGTAACTAAAGTACTAAGTATTATAAAAATGAATTGAAACAACGAAGATACAACAATACCCAGACCAGAGACAATATAGAAAAGTTCAATTCTTCAATGATTCCACCAGTAATCGAGCCCAGGACCTCAGAGATGGTACCTGGTTTTACCAACGAGGGAGCCACTGGGCTACGGAGATTGTTATGAAATTGAAACATGAAACCTTCATTGAAATCCAAGCAGTAATGTCTTTAAAACGACAGTAGTTTTCCGCCCACGACTTCACCTGCGTGGAATTTAGTTATTTTACAACAAAATCCTATATCCTTAATAAGGTCCACTTTATCCATAAACCAAACTTCATTAACTTGGTTCAGTAGTTTAATAGGCAGTTTCACAAGCGTTCATTAAGGTTTAATGATGCCTTAAAGCTCAAAATGAGTGTCAAATTTGTATGGGTAGTGTTGCTTTAAGCTAATGACATTTTCAAAGGACGTTTGTGCAACTGGCTGTGAGTGTGTAAATGTAACAGGCACACAGATATTTTACCTTCGCGTTTATAATATTAGTATGGAGTATGGATTGATGAGACATTCTAGTATTCGACTATTGACTCCACCGGAATGTACCGTATCTCATCGCAATGAAAACAGACTGGCATGGAATTTAATTAAATATAGAATTAAACTTGCGTTATTTCACCGTGCAGGGAGGCGGTTGAGCAAAATATGAAATTCCCCACAAAGTTTCGTTGAAACGCTGTTGCGTTATTTGTTACATATTTTGATACATTCCCAATTTAATTTATACTTTGATTGACTTTATTGCTTTACTATAAAAACAGTATTTTTTTGAGTTCCGCACGGAGGGTTTTTAGACTGTTTTGCCATCGTTTATCATTGAGAGGAACATCGGATAGTTTTAGTGAGTATGCCTTTGCTTTGATTACTCTACTCACGGGGGTGGGTTCACAAAGGAGAGCCTCACATGACCTCACATTATTCGAAATAACGGAAACCATTACGTTTATTGTAACATGTCAGCTACAGAGTGCTCACATTTTTAATAATTAAAAAAAAAGTATTATTATGAATTCGAATAAATTTTAAACTTATATGTAGCTGCTTATTCATGTAGGGATAATGTAATATGCTTTTGACCCTATAATGTAATATACTGTTGTTGTTTTTTTATTCAAGTTCTTTGTTTAAAATTCAGTATTTGGTACAAACTACCCTTTAAACGAAACATTGAAAAATGTATCTGATTTTCAGATAAACTCCCGTCATAAATTTAAAACATAAAAGCTTTAAGCCAATGTTTTAATTTACTTATACAAGGACGCTTGCTAATGCAACGCTGTAAGATAATGGGGTGTAGTTTTAATTAAAAACAGACAGCTATTGTAAAACGGAATGGGCTTTGTTAAATGTTTATTGAGCTAGGGTTACCATTACTCCCGATTTGTCATAGAGATATCCCCTGGTTTGAGGGTTCTGCTCCAGTCTAGTCGTGACCATAGCCGGTGGAACCCGGCCGGAACGTTGGCGCAGGTCAGTGGAAAATCGCGTCTAATACCCGGTATTATAAGTATTTAATAATGCAGGTCATTAGTTTAAAAGTGAATATTCTCAATTTTTTATGTTCTATTTGTTAATCTAAGCCGAAATGTATAATCGTTAACCATTATATTAAGCTTTCATTTTTTTATTATATTTAATCAAATTGAGACTAATGTATATATGATACGCAATATAATAATAAACTTAGAAAAAGTATCGTTCTATCCAGCCAGTTGCCACCACCAAGCAATCTAAAACATAGTTTGCATATGGTCACCCGAGCTAAAGCTATAATTAACAGGGCACTAATGAGTGACCTCACCTCGTTCCCGTCGGCCCTCGTAAACTGTAGAATTCAATTAGCATAATGTATCGAGGTGCGAGCGAAGGGTTTCCATCAAATTTCCGGATTATATTGAAGTATCGGTTAATGTTGTTGACCTTTTTGTTACTGTAATTAATATGTGCCAACAGTGACATCTATCTCGCTGAGCTTACATCACCACAATAATCGACAGCATGACAAATACTATATAGTGGATTTAGATAGAAGATGGAGGTGAAATGTTATGTTACCTGGATCGCGCTTGCAGAATTTGTACTTCTTAATATAACTATATTCAAGCTTTCCGCTTTCTTTATTTCTTGGATTACAATTTCGAAGAAGTCTATAATGTTACTCTGAACTGAACTAGTTCATTAAGTTCAATGTAGTCCTTTACTAGTTTTGAACTTATTGTGTTCAATTGTTTGGCATTGAGTGTTACTTGGCTGTCAAAAAAGAGGCTTGATGTTTACAGTTTCGTCGACGATTGGCTTCCGCACATTCTTAAATGACGTATACCTCAGTCAAAGTCAAAGTCAAAAAATTGTAGTATTTGTACCAAGGAATACATTTTTTAAATCTCGGTCTTTCTCCATATATTCCACATCCTACATTATGATCCAACTCCAAGCAAGACTAGTTCCTAGACCAGAAGGGGTCATATATGAGAGGCATTAACTAAAGTATTTCCACAATAGAATAAAAAGTCATTCACTTTAGTCTGTTTGATTCGTTCATAAATAAATAAATACATTTTCAACAATAAAATAACGTAACCTTTTTATAGCGACCAGTGACAAAGATCAGTATGTCATTCGTGGTATACTATAGTAATCGAACTTATGCCTAGAATTTTCTTGACATTAAATAAAAGTGAATGTCACTTAGCCCCTAACACCCTGAGAAGGGATACGAACCTCACGACCTTTCGCAATCCGCTGCGACTGCTCTAACCACTGAGCTACCCAGGATCTAACAGGACTGACGAATCTTTCAATACTTGTTACTTTTTCGCTACTAAAGAGCGTATTCTATCAATATATCAGTGTTAAGGAAATTCACCCAAACAATCGAAAGAAATATTTTTACAAATATTTAAACTTTCGATAAAGATGAAATATTCTTAATGAAAAAATGGTTAAAAAATTGTGAAAGCTAAATTGATCAAATTTAATAAGTGAATTTCAGTCCGGGTGAAAATTAACTGACTATCAGCCAGTTGCACAAACGTCCATTAATATTTCCATTAGTTTAAAGCGACATTTTAGTAAATATATTTAATTATTAAAATATTTTTTACGTTCTTTTTTTGAAGCTATACGCCGTATCTCTTTATCTAAGTTTCTCATCAGTATTATGCGCACTTAAGCTCTATATATACCGCTAATCAGATGGTGCTTAGCCAAGAGGGTTGACTTGTAGACGAGATTATTGCGTGGCAACCCCCTGTTAACCCCTGAAGACTAACGGCCTACACCGACCGACAATCGATTCTGCCTTTATAAGGCGTTGTTGAATATGTTTAAATACATTTCAAACAACAAATTATTTTATTCTAATTCCGAATTGTTTTTATTCCGTTCCTGTTATAAAACTCTGCTCAACATGTATATGCACGTATGCTTAACATAATTTTTTCGCGACATCACACAAAGGTTGACTGGCAGAGAATAGCATTAAGCAAAGTCAAAGTCAAAATAATCTTTATTCAAATAGACTTCTTAAAAGTACTTTTGAATCGTCCAACATTTTTTCCCTACCACTCGTTCAGGACGTCTTTTGGCTGATAAGAAGAACGAGCAAGAAACTCACCAGCTCTAATATGAGTAATGACATTTACAAAAACCATGTCATTACCAGATCAATACATTATAAACAGAGATAAAAAAAAACTATGGTCTTATAATAATAACATAATCATTTAATAATAATGGAAACAAGATAATGAGTTTAGAAGTAATCACCTATCCAGTTGCTGGATCATCTCAAGTCCAAGCGTTCTTATCTGTTACATAATCGGATACCTTATAATAAGCTTTTTTAATAAGTATTTTTTTAATAGTAGATTTAAACTGCATGATATCTAATTGTTGTATTTTGCTTGGGACCTTATTGTAGAAGCGCACACAAAGACCCTTGAAAGAGTTATTAACTTTTTGCAGTCTAGTGACAGGCACCGTTAATTTATTTTTATTTCTTGTATTAAAATTGTGTACATCACTTTTAATAGAAAACAAACTAATATTTTTACGAACGTACATTAAGTTCTCGTATATGTATTGAGAAGCAACAGTCATAATGTCTATTTCCTTAAATTTCTCCCTTAAAGAGTCCCTAATCCTAAGATTATAAATTGATCGAATTGCTCTTTTCTGAAGCACAAAAATTGTTTGTATGTCGGCAGCATTTCCCCACAATAGGATACCGTATGACATAACACTATGAAAGTAACTGAAGTATACTAATCTGGCAGTATCTATGTCAGTTAACCTACGTATCTTCATTACGGCATATGCTGCAGAGCTAAGTCTACTCGACAATCTATCAATATGTGGGCCCCACTGTAGTTTAGAATCTAATGTTATTCCTAAAAATACTGTGGTATCCACAAGGCCCATGTTCTTATCTTTTACATTAACATTTATATCTACTTTTTTAACATTAGGTAGTACAAATTTTAAGCATTTTGTTTTTCCTTCATTAAGGAGAAGATTATTTACATTAAACCAATGTACTACTTTAGCGATAGAATTGTTCACATCGTCATTTAGAGGTAACCCTCTTTTAATTTTAAACAAGAGTGAAGTGTCATCCGCAAACAAAACTATTTCGTGATCATCCCTTACGAAATAAGGCAAGTCATTTATGTAAATCAAAAACAAGAAAGGACCAAGTATTGAGCCC